TTATCTCCTGATAGCTTATTAGCTGCAGCTGCAGATCTTTAATTAGTACCGCCATATCCACCTCCCTGTTCTCGTTACTGCCCAACTACATGGATAGGCCATGCTTCCATCTTCATGGGCATGTCTACATGTGCATTTACACCAGCTTAAATTTACTACACAGTAAATTACTTCATAGTAAGCAGCAATAGGCTGGTGCCTCCACATGCAGATCAGAGCAGCTTGCCATGTACCCTTGTGGCCACTGGGGGCACCTCCAGGCTCTGGACACATGGACCACTTCCACACAAGCGTGGACATTTGGTTCCCTAGGGACAAGTAGCAGTGGCACACCTCATGCCACCACTTCTTGTCTTCGGGGAATGCCTGTGCCACATGCACTTTGGCACATGGCAAGTTGCCCCGGCTGGCATAGGGGAGGCTGGGGCCAGCACAGTACTAGCCCCAGCACTCTTATCTGAGGTCCTGGGGGCCTCCTGGAGCTGCAGCCATAGCAATCCTGCTGGGCAGAGCCTGACCGGCAGTCGCAGCACAGCTCCAAACAACCCAGCTCTGCTTTTTAGCAGTGCATGCTGCCCGAGCATGTGCTGCTCTGTGTTTTTTTCTGCATTTTTTTTTTTGACCCCTGGATATCCAGGGGTCAAAAAAAAAACACAGGAAAAAAAACCAGAGCAGCACATGCCTGGGTAGCAGGCCTTTGTATGGGTGCACAGGTGCGTGGGTGCAGTTTTTTAACGGGAACAGTTTTATCCTTTTGTGATGTAATAGTTAGAGTGTAGATATATATAACGTTATGTATATAGAGAGACATATATTTAAAAAAACCCCAAAAGAATCTTCTCCCATTTGAATTTAGCATCCATGTTTGAAAAGTTGGGTAGGAGAGGCTGGGTCCAGCAACTGTGCTGGCCCCAACAGCCTTACCTGCAGTCCTGGGGGCCTCCGGGAACTGCAGCCACAGAACTCCTGCAGCAGGAAGCCTGGCCGGCAGCTGGAATGTGGCTCTAGCCAGCCAGGCTCTGGTTTTGGGTGGTGTACACTGCCGTCATGTGCACTGCCCCACTTTTTTTGGTGTGGGTTTTTTTGACCGTGGAATCTCCCAGGGTCAGAAAACCCACATGCACTGCAAAGTAGCAGCATGGGAAATGCCTGCATGTGTGGTGTGTGGCACCACAGACGGGTCTGCAGTGCTACATACGCATATCCATGCTCATCTGGATATGCCCAGAAAGTTCAAGAAGAATGTCTATGAGCATTTCTGATAAACTCTACAGCATATAGGACCAACAGCTATCATAATTAAAATACGAACATTTACCAAATTACCACACCATGAAAACCAAAGCCATGAATTACTATTTCCTATTCTAAATGTAGGAAATTCCTGCAGTGTCCCTAAAGAAACACTGGTGTGGTTGGTACTGGTAAGTGATGAAATACGCAACATAGG